CTTGTGTCTTGTAAAAGCTTTGTGTGAGCAGACTATCTTGGCAATTATAGATGCACATTTAACTCTGTTAGTAATTGCTGTAGAGAAATCTTAATTTTACTTGTAGGAAGAAAAGATGACTACTTCTTTTTAAAGTCCATGTGTCTAGCCTTTAACCATCAAGTTAACAGAAAAGGAGTAACTTTTGCATTTTTTTCTATTCCACTCCACTGCAGTAACTACAACAAAAAAAACTGTAAGAAGTCAAAACATTGAGAAATTTTAAAAACTGGTTGCTTTAGTAGTTTTTTTTAAAGCATTTACATTAGAATTGATTATACTAAATGGGCATTAACTATTTACCTTATGTAATACCAGAATTAGATATTGGAGCCAGGCCCGAATATCTATGTGAAAACATGGGAACCTGACTTTAGAGCTCTTCATTTAGCTCCAGTCATAGCAGTTCTCTGGTTTCTTCACATTTGCTATGTCTTTGTCCACAAATGAAATATTTTGTAACTTTAGTGTTAATTTCATGAAAGGATATAGATGAACAAACTTCTCATTATTTGAAACAATAGGCTGATTTAAAATGAGTATCACATAAAGTAGGTTATTGAATGGCTATTTTCTTTTTAATTTAAAAGAATAATTATTTATTAAAAATAGCCTTGGTAGAATGTTATTTGCTTGTGGTATGTTCTTTAATAAACCCTACAATTATATATAGTAATAATTAGGATATTAAAATATAGTAATATTCCCCATTTTTGTTTAGATTTTTTGTGAAGTATAAAATTAATCAAAGTGAGAGTTCTATACCTATGTATTCATCCCACAAGTAGAATCCATCTGACATGCTATGTTGTCTGCTTTCTGGGGAAAAGGAACATTTTTTTGCAGCAAGAAATTTAAGGTTACTTTGAGAGAGGGGGTTGTACTACTACAACTATAACATTTTTTTTAATTATTATTATAGCTTTAGGTATTTTTTTGTCTTGTTTGTTTTTAGTATTTTAAAAATATCTTTCCCCTTAACTCTTATTTTAAGGAAAGCCCCTCCCTATCCTTCAGGGCTGTGAATTAAGGAATGGGTAGAGTTTACATTTAAGTATGCCAGTGTCTGCCCAATTTCTTAATGGATGCATTTGTTTTCCTTTTTAGTTATTCTTTGATCTTAAAATGCTAGAAGAAAACATAGATCTTCCTAGTGCCTTTGAACTTACACTATTGTCTAGTGAATTTCAATCATTAATAACTTTAATAGCATTACTACAATACTATATGGTGGCCAAAAATAAAAATTGTATGGTGAGTTTGCTGAATTAATTTCAAAAGCCACACTTTCATTGTATTTTATGTATAAATTGTATTTGTTCAAATTGTATATATTGCTATTATATGTACACATATAGCATGGTTAAATAAGAAATAAAAATCCTTATGCTGTAATAGTGGCCTGCTTCTTTACTGAACTATTTTTTGTGTTTATGTGCATCCTGATCTTAATAGGCAGGTTCTTTGTGGTTGGCATCTCAATTTCATGAGGCTGAAAGAGGCCGGTGTAATTTTATACCCAGAAATGCTCAGTGTTCTAGGTCTTTAAACAGCAATCATCATGATACAGAAACCTGGGAGAGATGTTTTTAAAATGCTTCTTCCCATTGATTGAAACTTATTTTCATCAAAAACATTTTTACCCAAGTTTTGTTATCCTTTTCTTTCAGTGTTTGAGAACAAAAACTTAAAGAAGTGTATATGGAAAGTGCATCTCACTAAAAGATAAAAGGAGACGTTTCTTAGTGGTAATGATATGATCTCTTTCAAAAACTTTTAATGAGCTTAAAATAGCTCCAAAACAGTAACATTGCTTGGATTATTGTTAATCATGTGTTCTTTTGACAAACATTTGTTGATCACCAGGCAACATGCTAGGCAGCCTTAAGAAATTGACAGCAGACATTGAGAAGTTTTGATTTGTCATCATGTTTCAAAGGATTTCATGTGCTCTTTGCATAGGAGAGGAGACTCCTCTGGCCATTTCTGGGCTTGCTCTCTTCCTTTTCCCAACTGTTAGCTGATGTAAAACTCTTACGTGTGTGTAGAATATGAAAATAAAATTAGAGACCTGCCATAGTGTAAGCAAGGTGATCAATAGTGCTGCCTTCGCACCTGCTGCCCCTCCTCCCCGGTTGAGTTTTGGACTCTGATGCTCACTTTCATCAAGCAACCTTAGGAAACTTATCACTGTCTGTGTTGTCAGGATGCTGCTGAGGACATTGTCCATCCCACCGTCTTGTGAAGACCCTTGAGAATCTCTCTTAAAACCAAGTACAAAAAGCAGAACAAAACAAAATCCTGAGTACCAGCCTAAAGGACCACAGTTAATCTGTGCCCACAGGAACAGTTAACACAGTTCTGAAGCTGCAGCCTAAACTTAAAGTGAGTTGGAGGAGCCTTCTAAACACATATGTTATAACATCTGAATGTCTCATTCTTAAGCTGTTTGATTTGCAAAGCAAATCAGGTATTCAGTCCTCCTTCGGAAGTTGAACAAATGTGTGGGAAAATGATTACGAAGAGGCTACTTCAAAAAGAACCTGTTTCCTCTCAGCATTTATCTTGGGCTTCCTGTGACCCAGTCTTCAAGTTACTTTTATCACCGTTATCAGAACATCACATTGTCTTACCCAAACACGTTTATGGCTCTGACTAAAGAATATGACAGATCAGACATTCTTCTACACCTGCTCCCTCCCCCATCCCTTTTTAGAGGGCTGGGGAAAGTTTAGTTTTTAATCAAAGGCTTTATTTCTCCAGTTTTACAAAGGAATTTAACTGGGACTTTACAACTGAATTAAGATATTTCTCAGAGTTGATACCAATCTTAGCAAGAGGATATTGCCTAACCCAACCTAAAACTACCAGAGTCATTACAGAAATATTGTGTTGGCCTTTATTTCTACTCCATCATGAGTTATGCCACTCAGCCACCCAGGTGTCTTTTGTATTTACTGTGGACTAATGCTGTGCTGAGTAGAGGGTCCTTGCAAAGCTCACAGCCTCCCTCAGGAGGGAGAGATGGCCATGTAAGTGGTGAATGACCATGCAGCCTGTTGAGGGCTGTAGTGAAGGAGGGTGAATGGTGAGCTGCTAGGCACATCATCCTTCCCTAGCAGCTGACATGGTGCCTAGAACACATCTCACCTGACCAGAAGGTTAGAGAAGGCCTATTCTCTCTTTGAGGTGTCTAAGCGATCCAACACGTGCGGAAAGACATTCCAGGCAGAAGAGGTAACGTGAATCTAGGTGCCACCACGTGCATTGGTGGTATGTTTGAAGTTAGGCCAAAGCGGTTGGGACAGATGAGCCTGAAAAGGAAAGAGGCCAGGATCCTACTGTCAAAAGAGTTTTCTGTAAGCACTGAGAAGTCATGGAAGGATTTTAAGTGGGACCCGCGCACTGTTTGTGTTTTAGAGAAATAACTGCTGGAGAGATCATGAAGGACTAGAGACAAAGGAAGCTGGGAGAGCAGACAATGTGCGTGCGCACCAGTGCCTTGGAGGCTGAAATGGTCATGGGCCGGAGGAGCTAACCTCCCTCTCTTCTCAGCTGGCTCTCTTGCACTTGTGATTGGTACCAAGACTGAGCGAGCGTATGTCTCTTTACTTCTCTTTAGTCGTGTTCTGTAACAGGTGCCCAGGTGTGCAGTTGGCACCCAGAACGTCTAAACATGCTTGTGTTTGATATAACACTGGCTAGGACGAAACAGGAAGGGAAGAGACAGCTTAAAGAGTGAACATTGAACTGGAAGAAGTTGACAGGAAGAATGGATTAGAAGAGAAACGCTGGAGAGCTGAGGAATGTCTGCGCACTGAGGGCAAGCACCAGCCCAGGAAATGCTAGGTGTGACACTAGCTAGATTTTAGTACTCCCCCTGGGGACGGGGCTCCAGTGGAGCTGAGGGCTTGAACCAGGAAGTCAGCTCCCAGACTAGAGAAAGTGCTTACCTTGCCCACAGCTTAAGGTGGTAGGAACTGTGAAGCTAACCTTGTCTGCTGATAGGCCAGGCCGCGCCTTGCTCTGGGAGAAAGCTGAGACCTGCACTCTCCTCTGAAATCCCTCTTTCTCAGATGATTTGGGTAGGGAAAAAATAGGACAGTGCACTGGCATGGACAGGCTAATAGCAAAGAGAGAACCCCTGGTGCATGATTATCAGAGAACAGCATTTCTCACTGGCCCAAGAATGTTTTAATAAGGGACATTTGGCTGTAAATTTGAGCAAATTGTTTTTCTTTCATTTATGCAATAAGTATCACCTACCAGTGCCTACCAGGGATGTAATATGTTAGTAGGTAAAAGGTGGAGGTAGCTGACAGCAGGGAGGGAGGGAATCAACCTTTGCTGTCAACTTCACATAGTCTGTGCACAGATAAGAGGCACATCCCCTGAAGCAGGTGTGGGCTGTAGCTAAATTTCCTCAGTGAATGTGCTTATGTGACAAGCATCTCAACTTTCACTTAATCCTAATGTTTCTTCACTCATCTTTTAATGTATGTCCTCCTCAGTTCATGTTCTCTCACCCTGTCTTTGGCTGTTTCCGTCCATGACAGACAGACCTGCCTGGAGCTTGTGCCTATCCCTTCTATGGCCTGTTCTGAATTTTTCTTCCAGCTGCCCTTTCTTTTACCATCCTGGCCTCATACACAAATTACAACCCACAACTCATATCCTGTGGCAGACTACAGCTCACATTAGCCATTGAATGCAAATGAGTCTCAATCAAAGAAGAAAGGAAATTTCAGTGTGGCCTTAGAAGGCTCCATGACTGTCTTAGTTACTTGTTGCCCTTGGCATGCTGGTATTTTATGTGGGCAGGGTGAAACTGGCTGTGGTCAGGGTGTGACTTTTAAGCTTTTGATTTTTTCCCTTATTTTGAAAGGGTTAAAAAGATATTACATGGTTTGGTATAATTTTAGTACACGTATTAATTTTCGCTCATTCATTGTTACTGGGTCCATATTCTTGCAGAGAATGTATCTTTAAAAGGTAACTTTTAGTGACTTGACACTTTTTTTCCCCTGTAATTTTTTTAAATAACAGCTTTATTGATTATAACTCACATACTGTAAAATTCATCCTTCTAAATGTGTAATTCAGTGGTTTTTAGTATTTTCACAGAGTTGTGCATCCATTATCACTATTTAATATCAGAACAATTTCATTATGCCTGAAAGAAACCCTATGTCCATCAGCAGTTACTCCCTCTTCCTCCATTTCCCCCAGCCCCTAGTAACCAATGTTCTGCTTCTTACCTCTGTGGATTTGCTTCTAATAGGCATTTCATATAAATGGAATCATACCATATGTGGTCTTCTGTGTCTGGCTTCTTTGTCTTAGCATAATGTTTCCAAGGTTCATCCATACTGTAGCATATATCAGCACTTCATTTATTTTCATTACCAAATAATATTTCATTGTTTATTTGTTTATCCATTCACCATTTGATTGACATTTGGTTCGTTTCTTACTTTTTTTTTTTTACTTATTAATGATTAATGCTGCTGTGAACATTTGTGTATAAGTTTTTGTGTAGACTCATGTTTTCAGTTCTCTTGGGTGGATACCCAGGATTGGAACTACTGGATTATACAATAACTATGTTTGTTGCTGGTAGATGTAACTGGTTTCCAGGTTCTTGTCCCATCCCTGAAGGAATTCAGAGACAATATGCAGTGGTTAAAAAAGTAAAGTGAGGATTTATTAAGGAGTGGATAGTATACTCTGAAGGGGAGAGTGGGCAGGCTCAGGTGTGCTAGCTGCCAAGTTTCTTTGGCAGGTTTGTTACATAGGGTGTAAAAATGAAGGGGTGGAATATTCATTAGGGAGGGAAGGGTCTGGGGTCATATTCCCTGATTTTCATCCTAACTCCACCTTCCCAAAGGAAGGAGGGATTTTTGTCCTTATTTAGTCTGGATTGGAAGTGTCATGGCGTCAGTGCATGATGGGTACTTTTAATCTGCAAGGCTAATTTTATTGAAATAAGGGCATAATGAGCAAAAGGTACTGGACACTGGAGATTCTTGCCTTTTCTCACCTTTCTTTGTTGGCCTCCAGGCCGCTCGTCACCCCAAAAGGTGTGACCACTTATCAGCCCAGAGGTTCCTGCTTTTCTTTCTCTGCCCAGGGACCCCTGGTGCTTACATGATGTGTGGTTTTCTGCATTTGACCTGTGTCTCCTTTCTGCCCAATTCCTGCCATTTGGCCTGCTCATATCTAGCTATGTGCCTGCTCTACCATGTTTAACCTTTTGAGGAATTGCCACACTTTTTTCCAAAATGACTGCACCATTTTCCAATCATACCAGCAATGTGTAAGAGATGCAGTTTTTCCACATCTTCATCAACATTTGTTATTGTCTGTCTTTTTAATTTTAGTGCTTTAACTTCTAAAAACATTTTATCATTTATGCACATGGTCTCACACACACAGGCTTAAAATGGAAAGCCAAAGGTTTCCTGCCCTACTTTCACTGATCCTTATTCCAAATCCCATTCCTAACAACGCACCTTCTCTTTTTTGTTTTTAGTTTTTCTAGTAGTGACCATTGTAATTCCAAATATTTCTTGATTCACCAACTATTGGTTTTTTTTTTTTGCTTTTTATTATGAAAACTTTCAAACATGTATGAAAGCAGAGTAGTACAATCAACCCCCATGTATCCATCTCTAGCTACATCTTATGACCACCTTGGCAGCTGTTTTTTGATTTATCAACTTGAGATATTTTGTGTTAATTTCCCCATTGCAATGTGAGAGTTTACCCCATTTATACTATCCCTTCCAAATTCTTTATAGCAAATTATTTTTAGATCTTCTATTACCTTTGTGATTTTGAATGAATACTTACATCTCCTGTTCTTGTTCCATCAGCGTCCAACAGTATTGCTTAACTGATCCCTCCCCAAGTGAGCTGGGGGTATTAGTGCCCTACCTCTCTTTCCTTGTGCTTTCTCCTCTCAGTCATTTTCAACTATGCCCCTTATGTTGTCAGGTTGGTAGCACTGACAGTCTGTTCTGTAACCACAACTAAATCCTCCATGCTTTGTCTTCTGGTTGATTCTAAGATTTAAGAATTGAAAGAATTTACATTATTAGGACTTCAAATGTTTTTCACTGCAGAGCCATACAGTCTGCTAGAATTATCTTTCCTCTGTAGATTCAACATAACCACCTTCGTGCCAGTGGGAGAAGACTGTTTTCAGCATCCAGTTGACACTTTTTCAATTCAGAATTACTTGGTAGTCAGTAGGGCTTATGGACCCATTCTCCAAGCTCTCTTAATTATCACTTACGTCTTGTGTGGCCTTGTATTCTTTAATCATTTTGTGCATTATGTCCTCAGTGAGAGAAGAAACTCCTTGAAAGGGAAATGATCTTTCATTTTTCACTACCACACCAATTTGAGTCTCCCAGTAAATTAAACTGGTTTCCCCAAAAGTTGTCAAGTAAATATAGCCAGTGCTATTAAAGTGACATCATGCCATCAGATTCTACATATACTTTATTTTATTATGAATTATAAATACATAAATATTTTAAAATAAGGCTATTAAAAACTCATAAATTAAAATATTCAGCTTCAACATTTTGAGTATTTCTCCTTCATAATCTTCTTTAGCCTTTCCAAGAAGTCTCTCAATGTGCTCTTCTTGGAGTCATCTGAGACTGCCAAGGC